ACAAAATTTCATATATTTGTTTTATTTGTATTTCATGATATAATAATTTATTTAATGTGTTCATGAGATTCAACACTGCAGATTTAGACAGGGTCCCATGCAGGGTTTTTACAAAACGCTGAGGCTAAAACAGAACAACCACCAATGCATGGCTCATGGCAAGGCAGACATCCCGAAGAGGTTAAGGGCGTGAGTACATCACTCACCCCTATTGGTTTTGATTTTATTTCATTCTATTTATCCTTTTATCTATTTTACCTATTTTTCTTCTTTCTGTTTAAAACTTTTTTCATAAATCCTAACATTTTTCACAAACCCTTGATTTTTCCTAATAAACTCAAATAATTAATTTTAGATTTTTAATTTAATTTTAGGTTTTAATTTAATTTTAGGTTTTTAATTTCATTGTTTATTTTTGGTTTCTAACCAATTTGTCTTTTTCAATCTTAAATTCACTTAACCACAAAACTTTTTTCACAAACCTTTTTTTTACAAAAAAAAACCTAATTTAATTTTTAGGTTAATTAATTTTAGATTAATTAACCTTTTTTTCAAAACTAACTTTTTTTTTTTAATTCGAACTAATTAGGATTTAGGTATTTTAATTAACTTTTTTCAAAATTAACAATTTTTTATTAATTAAAATTAATTAGGTTTTTTAGGTTTATTTAATTAATTATCATAAATTATTTTTTCCATAAAAAATCACCAAAACATTTTCTTTGCTATTTTCATCTTATTTTTATTTTCCTAGATAAAGTGTATAAGACGCATTCAACTGTAATAGCGTAGCTTTATTTTTTCCGCTTTTTTCATCATTATCATGTAATTGCTTTCGGGATGTAATAGTTTTAGGATTTCTTTTCCGCACTCTTCACTATTATGTAACTGCCCTAAAGCTTTGTAATAGCTTAGGTTTACATTTCCGCCTTTACCTTCTGCTACTATATTTTATGCAATACTTAGATTAATAGGATTGTATGGAAAGATAAAAATGAACGATAGAAAACCTTAATTGCAAGATAAATATAACGGAAAAAATACATTGTTGCACACTTGCACCCCTAGGGTACTCTCCACTTGGCTGCCTCGGAAAAACAATGGTCATGTCCCTCGAACGTAGAGATATCTTAGCAAAAGACCCTCAATCTAAAAGTCATCATAAAGATTATAGTCTCTTAACGTCCCTCGAGTTGCCTACGAGAAATGATCTTGTCCCTCGTTGTTGCCTATATGATGACAGTCCCTTCGAACTGCTAAGGTATCCCTATATGTTTCCTTCTATGACCATAACGATGACCCGCGTTTGTCCCTCATACATCCAACGATAGGGATATCTACTCACTAATAGTAGGATAGCACTGTCTAAAGGGTAGGAGGAAAAGAACGATATTTTCGAGTATAAGTAAATAAGTTCTTAGATGCTTGCTCAAAACAACTTTTTGTACCTACACCAAAATATTTCAAAACATTCGCCTTGTCAACACTCTTGAGGACTGATACAAGAGTTATCACAAAGTGAATCGTCGCACTAAGGCATTTTCAAAACAATTTTCAAAACACACAAAGCACAAGCAATTTTCAAAACATGAGCTAAGCATCTAAGAGCGCATGGAAAACCACGGATGGAAAGGGTGCTAACATCTTCCCTTTCCATAATCTACCCCCCTTACTTAGAAAACTCTCGAAAGGTCTTTTTCTGTTTTTTTCACCCTTTCCTTTGTTGGATAAAAGAAAAGTCGATGGTAACTCTTGCTTACCGGACATTTGTGAATACAAAATGCAAACCAGTATAACAGTCGATTCTGCCACCGTATCACAAGTAAGTTGAAGTTTCCAAATAAGAAAACATTTTTACTAAATTATTGATATTTCAGTTATGAATTTTATTTAAATTTAGTAGCAGGAAATTAAGAATTTGTATAATTACATAGTAGGCTCAATCAGTTATTTAGTCTAACATACTTAGTGAATATTTGGTAGTAGCTCCAATAGAACGTTCAATATGTTTGCATTAAATAGCAGGATTAATAGTTAGAAGCATATGTTTGACAATTAACAAAAGTAATAATTAGATTGAAACTAATATATATGTAATAGGACAATATTAATTGACAGGTAGTATACATGTAGCAAAAGGTCATAATAGCAGATTAGTGACTTTTTTTTACATAATCAATATCAGCAGTATAGACTATTCAATAGCAGTGTAGTATTAATTTAACCGAGTTGTAATAAGAAATTTAGTATAAAGTATAAATAATAGAACTTTTTGGCCGATAATTAATTAATCGGTTTTAGTCGAAATAGTCCGAATAATTACACGATTTATTTATAGTAATTTTTGGTTGATTCGTCGGGTGGTGTTTTTGTTAAAAAATGTAAAATTACAGGTGATGTTGTATCTTGTTAAATTGCCTTTATTTATGGGCAAAATATAAGTTGTAGATCTATGACCAATGCTGATTTGTTGTTGTGTTGCTATATAACTATTATTGTCGTTACTCTGACATTCATATTGTGTCACATACATAGCATATCAAGTTGGAGCTGATGCTCGGTAAGTTGGCCTGGATTGGCAAATTAAGTTGAAGGCTTATGCCTTGTTGACGCCTCTATTAATTGACAGATTTTTAAGTTGGGAGTTCTGCTCTAATGGTACCACATGCATGTGCATTGTAACGAGTCACATTTCGTGTTACATATTTAAATTGTTGTGTTATTGACTTGTGATGATTGATATTGGTTAAAAGATGTGAATGACGATTTTATATAATCCGATCTAATATATTGTTTATCATACACTCAATTATATGATTTGATATCTCACCCCTTATGTTTGAATGTTTCCCTCTGTTGGTAACGTGCAGGTAATCAAGAAGGATAGTTGTTACCTTCGTTAGTCTGAGTCGATGTTGTCGCTCTGATACGTAGCACTCAGGGAGATGAACACATGTTTTCTTTATTGTTGGTTTTCATTATGTTGTTGAATTTTCAAGTTGTTTTCATTAAAGACTTGTTGTCTTAAAGTTGTTTTGAGTTGGACAAGATGTCATGGTGTTTTTAGTTGAATTTTGTGAATCCGCTGCGTAGTAATGAAAGTTGTTTTATTTTTAAAGACTCAGAAGGTTGTTATCGCTTCACCCGAAATATTGTGTTATGTATCCGATTTACAGGTGATTTATTTTCGTTGTTTTAAGTTAAAAGTGTAACATTCCATATGTTGGTGGAAATTTTGAATCTCTGATTTTATATAATTCGTTGGATAGAAATGGGGTGTTACAAGTTCGTTGTTAACTAAGTTTCTCCAATCCACCCTGCAAGGTGATTTGCCTTATACACAAAGACTTAATCCACTATAATCAACCAAATTACAGACAACCATAATAAATTCGAGCAACCCTATTGAAACTCCCAATAAGTCTACTGATCTTTATTGCAAACCATTATGACCGCAATGTCTTCTTGAGTCTCCATACCTCCACTCGGTCACTCAAGGAACTTATCAACAACAGTTGATTTACAAAGATGTGTATACAAATATGCTTATACACACGCAGATGACATAAATTTCAAGTGCAATAACACGATAGCAAGATATGAGGAACAACTCCTTTCTTATTTACAAAACTATACAAAATAAGATTTCTCTAAGGAGTTTTTGTGCAGCGGTTTAGTATACATTTGTTGAACTGATTCGTTGATTTCAAATTCTTCCAAGTACTCCTTTTATAGCTGAAAAGAATAGATCCGTTGGAGGATAGAATAGGAAATAAAAATACATATGTATTGTTTCTAACCGTCATAGTGAGACGAGTAAACAACAGTAAAAAGGTATGTCCTTGCGCCACTCTAGAGAGTAGAGGTCACAGTGTACTTTTGTACTCATACAGATCCTTTTAGTCTTGATCTTCTTCTTCTATGTCTCCAGAGGCTTATGATATAATTATTGATGAAGCGTATTGTAGAAGGATCATAACTAATATCTTCCAGAATCCAAGTTATTAGAACCTTTCAGGACTTGTTCCGAGAACTCTTGTCTTAGTTAGTTCTTCAACACTTAGTTGTCAGAAGAATATCTTTAGATCTTCAGAACTTCGTTCAACAGAACCTTTGTCTTCAGCATCTTTAGAACTTGGAACAACAGAAGTAAAATTTTAGAAGGCCTGCAAAGCTTCCTTAAATAAGTCACGATTAAAAGCTCTTTTACTAACGCTCCTTAGAACTGTTGCATAAGATGCATTCATTAATCTTGACTTAACTTGTAACACACTAAAGATATTCTTTCAGAGTGTTGAGCTCAGAACCTGATAATGTCACACACCTTCTTACCAGAATCATAACCTACATGACAAAAGCCACAGACTAGACAGAAACCTATTAGAATATACAATTATTCTTTAAAGATAACATGTAAAGTTATCATCAAAACATAAAGTCAGATGAGAGAATAAATTTTATTCTCACAAAGATGTCTTTAGGTTAATCACCGTTATTAAAGAGTTAAAAAGTTATTACAAACAACTTCATCAATCATTAGTGTTGACGTCATCAAAACATTAAAAAGTTGTTAACATAATCATCATCTTCATAATTGTAAGCAGATAAATCCACATATGAATCTCTAGAGCATGCGGCGTTCAAATGTATAAAATCGACATACATGTGTTGTTTGTTCGATGACTTTCGAACCAATGTTAACCATCAGGTTTAATATTTAATCCCAATTATAAAGCCAAAACTCTTCTCGACCTCTTCATCTATAGCCATCCGCTTCTCCTCGTCCACTTTGCATTTTTCTAAGATATAGGCTTCACGTTAAAACTCAAATCACTACACGTGCTAAATGTCAACCATGACAACTCCTATATGGAGCAAATTGTTGGTTTATTCTAAAATATTTTATTTGTGTTTTTTTTTTGACATACTTTAATCTCTTCTCTATAAATAATGGGGACTTTCATCACACACATATAGATCGACAAAACTAAACAGTGAAAATGGTTCAATACAGTCAGTTGATGTTTTTGCTGACAGCTCTAACCACCATCCACGTGTCCACCACTTCATCCGCCACCCCACCGCCGCTCTCACCCACGGCAAGAGAGTTTCTGGAAACTCACAACCAAGCAAGATCATCCGTCGGCGTAGCGCCACTCACATGGAGCGAGCAGCTCTCCAACATTACGAACAAGCTCGTCCGCTATCAAAGAGACAAAATGGCATGTCAGTTTGCCAACTTAACCGCAGGAAAATACGGCGCCAACCAGCTTATGTCACTTGGCGCGACGGTGACGCCACGCATGGTGGTTGAAGAGTGGGTGAAAGAGAAACAGTTTTATAACCATAGTGATAACTCGTGTGTTGTGAATCATAGGTGTGGTGTTTATACGCAAGTTGTTTGGAGGAAATCGCTTGAACTTGGGTGTGCTCAAGCTGTGTGTGGGAAAGATGGAAGTGGAACCAGTTTGAGTATTTGTTTCTATTTTCCACCTGGGAATTATGTTGGAGAGAGTCCTTATTGATTGTTGTTGTTTTTATAATTGTAATGTTGTTATGTTTCTAATAATGTTGTTCTGCTTGATTTGGATCTGAACTTCATGAATTGTAACTCTTCCAAATTGCTAATGAATTTCTTCAATAAATAAATATCTAGTGAATTTGCAGATCTTGATCTTGATCTGTCTTATAGACACGGACACAATCTTGCATATCTTAATATTTTTGTACTAAAATATTGTCGCGGATAAATTATGGTTTAAAAGAATCTCTATTTATTTTCTTATAAGTTATACATAAAAAAATTGAGAGGCTCTGAACAATTGAGACGGCTTTGAACAATCCAACAATGTACAGGGTTGGGTTTAACAATTTTGCAATTTGTTGTCTGTATCATACAATAACCGTTGTGAATCCAGTAGAGGAAAAGAACTGTGAAGATTCTATGTCAGAGACATCAATTGTCGTTGGAAATCTACTAAAAATCTATATTGAATTTCTATCAATCTTGATATACAAGATTGATATCACCACACAATGACAATGAAAAATATGAAAGAAAAGAAGAAAGATAAAACAATTATTTTCTGTAGAGTTTCTCTCTATTTACAAATTATGAAAAACCTTATTATTTACTTGCGACTGCAAATTTTGTGAATACAACTTAATTTACTTGAATACAAAAGTAAGGGTTACTCCCTCTATTTATAGATTTAGGTTAGCTTGTCCCCTAAGCCAAAAACTCAAAACTGTAAAAGCCTAAAATATCTATTTTGAAACTAAATCAAATCTATCTATTTTAGATCTAAATCAGATCTATATAAAACTAAAATTAAATATGTGTATAACAAATTGTTTCCACACTTCTAAATCAAATCAAATCTTTTCGACATTTCCTTGTCTATGTCAAGTAAATTGCTTTGACACAAGGAATTACTTTCAACACACCATCTAATTCATTGTGTCTAAGCTATCTACATTCATCATAGCTCTTAGTCTTCTGAATACTTCGACATGCACTCCCTTCGTCATGATGCCTGCAATCTGATTCTCAGTTCTACAATGTTTCAAATTTATCTTCCCATCTGCTACCTGCTCTCGAAGATAGTGGAACCCCATTTCGATGTGTTTTTTTGGACCATGAGCTATCAGATTCTTCACCAGGTTGATAGCTGACATGCTGTTGATCTTCATGATAATTGCTCTGTGATCTTTTCCTGTTATCTCTTCGACCAAGTTCATCATCTAAGTTGCTTGACATGCATAAAGAGAAGCAACTATGTATTCTACTTTCCATGATGATAATGTCACTACTGGTTCCTTTCTCGAACTTCAAGCAACTGGTGCACCACCTAACATAAACACATATTCTGCTGTTGATTTTCGATCTTCAGCATCACTACACCAACTTGAATCAGTGTATCCCACTAACTTACATTCTTTTCCTTTATTAACTGCATGAAACAAAATCCCATAGTCAAAAGTTTCTTTCAGATACCTTAGTATCCACTTCGTCGCTGCTAGGTGTGATACCTTTGGCTTCTGCATAAATCTACTTACCATACCTATATTGTATGCTAAGTTAGGCCTCATGTGACAAAGGTATCTTAATGACCTAATAAGTCTTCTATATTGGGTTGGATCGACATTGTCTTCATTTGTATCTTTCGACAGTTGCAACCTTGGTTCAACAGGTGTCGAAGTCGAGTTGCATTCTTCCATCTCAAATTTTTTGAGAATTTCTCCTGCATATCTTCTTTGATGCATCATCAAACCTCTACTAGTCTTGTAGAATTCGATGCCAAGGAAATATGAAATATCCCCTAGATCAGAGATTTCGAATTCCTTGCTGACATCACCTTTGAAGTCTTTGATCTCCTTCTTGCAACTACTTGTTATTAACAAGTCATTGACATAGAGACATAGTATAAACAATTTACTATTGCTTCTTCTTACATATACTCCATGTTCAGTTGTGCACTTCACAAAATCCTTCTCCCGTAGAAAACTATCAATCTTCTTATTCCAAACTCTTGGAGTTTACTTTAATCCATACAAGGCTTTATGCAGCTTGTACACCTTTCTCTCTTCGTCATGTTTCACAAACCCAACATGTTGTTTAACATAAACTTCTTTGTCTAAGGGTCCATTCAGGAATTCACACTTCACGTCCATCTGACATATGTGCCAACTGTTTATTTTTTTCTAGACCAATAACCAACATGATTGTTTCGATTCTAGCAATAGGTGCAAAAACTTCATCGAAGTCTATTCCTTCTTTCTGAAGAAACTTTTTCACCACAAGCTTTGCTTTGTGTTGAGTTACTTCCCATTTTGGATTCATATTCACTTTGTATACTCACTTGACATTAATTTCCTTCTTGCCTTTAGGCAGTTCGACAAGTGTTGTTGTCTTTGATGGATTTCACCTCTTCGTTCATTTCTTTAATCCACTTTGAATCTTTCAATACTTCAGCTTCATTGATAGGTTCGACATCTGCATAGAAAGCATAATGCACAGCTCAACTTTGTTATCAACCACACCATCTGATGTAATCACACATTCTTGCAACCTTGTAGGCATGAATCTTGTTCTTTGAGGCCTGCTTGTACTTGGTTGATCTATAACTGTTGGTTCCTCTTGTTGTCGAACTTCTCTTTTGACTTGAGTTTCTGGTTCTTAAAGTAGGATTCCCACTGAATCTTTCTTGACATTTTCAGTCCAATCCCATTATTTAAGCTCATCTATGATCACGTCCCTGCTGATCACAATCTTCTTGTTCACTGAGCCGAACAACTTGTAACCTCATGTGAATGATATCGTACTAGGATCATCTGGCTCGACTTATCATCAAGTTTTCTTCTCAACTGATCAGGCACATGTCTATGTGCTATAGATCCAAATTCCTTCAGATGACTTAAGCTAGGCTTCATACCAAACCAACATTCTTCTGGAGTAATTCCTTATAGCTTCTTCTTAGGACATTTTTTCATAGTATATGTTGCAGTCAACACAACTTCACCCAAAACTCTTTAGGTAAATGCTTACATTTCAATACACTTCTCACCATATTCATGATGGTTCGATTCTTCCGTTATGTAGTTCTATTCTACTGTGGAGTGTAGGGTGACACCACCTCATGCACAATCCCTTCTTTTTCACATAACTTGTCGAAGTATTTCGACACATACTCTCTACCACCACCAATTCTCAAAACTTTGAGCTTTCGACCACTTTGTCTTTCGACCATAAATTTAAACTTGGTAAATACCTCGATCACTTCACTTTTCTTCTTGACCGGGTAAGTCCACAGTTTTCAACTCAAATCATCTATGAATGTGACAAAGCATTTGTTACCTCCAAACGAATCCACATGGATTGGTCCACAAACATCAGAGTATATGACTTCGAGAATAGCCTTTGACATGCTTCCTGCATCCTTGCTGAAGCTATTCTTGTGCTGCTTCGCTTGCACACATTCCTTACAAACCTCGTTTGGAATGTCAATTTCTGGAAATCCTGAAATCATATTTCTTCTCTTCAAATCTATGATGTCTCTGAAGTTGAGATGGAATAGTTGATAGTTCCATATTCATTCATCTATCCTAGCTACACTCGAAAGGCACTTGTGCTCCATCACATTAAGTTCAATCTTGAAGGTTCTATTTTGAGACACAGGAGCTTTCAAGATTAACCTTCCATTTACATCGACGACTCTGATCATCTTGTCTTCGATCAACACTTTATAGTTCTTTTCGACCAACTTCCCTATACTGAGAAAATTGCTCTTCATGCCTGGTATGTACAACACATTGGAAATGACTGACCTCTTGCCATCTTTCCTCATAATGATAACATCACCAATACCTCCAGCTGCTAGGGCATTGTCATTTGTAAATTTTATCGTGTTCTTCAACGAGGGTTTTATGTTGACAAACCAATCTTTCGTTCCAGACATGTGTGATGAGCATCCTTAATCAAAGTACCATTGATCCTTGAATTTTTTTTTCATCTCTTGTTGTAACCATCAATAACATGTCCTCTTCTTCATACTTTGCGAACTTTGCATAAATTTCTTGATTCTTTCGCTTTTCTGGACAATCACTTGAATAGTGACCATACTTTTGAAAATTGAAATATTGAATGTGACTCTTGTCAGGTTTTCGACCATCGCCTCTTCTTTTATTCACAATACCACCTCTTTGGTTGCCTTGATATTGTTTTCTTTGATTCGACATGTTTTCTTCGTGCTGGTTTCCTTACCAGTCGAATTGTTGTAGCCACCTCTACCTTTGTTGTCAAACCACTTTCCTTTGCCTTTCTTATCTTTTATTGATTGAGCCTGCAAAGCCACATCACTCTTTGACTTTCCTGCATCTCTTTCCGCCATTCTTTGTTCGTGAGATTCAAGCATCCCCTGAAGCTCTTCCTTCAACAAAGATGACATGTCCTTCGACTCTTCTATGGTAACTACCACATGGTCGAACATCGGAGCCAAAGATCTTAAGATCTTCAAAACAATTGTTCTTGTTGTTAACGCCTCTCCATAAGTCTTGATTTGATTCACTAGTTTCATAATCCTAGTGAAGAAATCGGATATGCTTTCGCTATCTTCCATCTGAAGCAATTCATACGTTCTTTTGTGAGTTTGTAACCTCGCATCTTTCACCTTCTCAGCGCCTCCAAACGATTTCTTCAGAATCTCCCAAGCTTCTTTTACAGATTCAACACCACTAACCTTTTTCGAAATTGTCTGGGCTGGCACATTGGTGAACTATAAAGAGAGCTTTATAATTCTTCTTCTTCGAATCTCTGTATTTTGCTTCTTCTTCTTCTGAAGCGTCTTCATCAAACGGTTCTAATCCATATTTCACAAAATCCCAAAGACCTTGAAAACAAAATATAACCTCCATCTGTTTGTACCAATTCTCATAGTTATCACTTTTAAGAATTAAGAGACTTGCTGGAAAAATTTCGTTAGCGTAATGTATCGCCATCTTGAATTTCTTCTTCCTCGATTGTTCT